TTTTTTTTAGAAAAAGAAAAGTAAAAGTAAATAGTAAAACAAAACAGTTTAGTGATAAATACACGTTATAAAGTGGTCCAGGTTCTAGCTATGTCGGGTCCTTCCTTGTCTAACCTAATAGGAAAAACAAAATTACCTATTAGCTAGCTCATATATATAATCAGAAGACCAATAAATATTCCGACCATGTAAATTAAATAATAATTTTCAAATATTCACCTAAACATAGGTTGAACAGATGCACATGGGATTTTAATTCTGTTGTTGCACAAAATCTCTGTGGGGATTTTTTGTCGTAGCAAAGCTAAGAAGAAGTGTCACTATTAGTAACAGTCTATTGTGCAGGAAAAAGAGAAGAAAAAGATAGACAGCTTTTTTCCATGCAGATTAGGATAAGAGAGATGCAATGATTATAGTGATTGGTGTGGCTGGGAATCTGAGCCCATGCAGTGACCACGACTTCACCTCCGACCTACTTCTCCCACACACTGCTTTTAACAATCGCACCAAACCCCATAGCAGAGCTGGTTATTATGAGATTTACGGGTACATGTACTTAAATTAAAATAGAGCTTTCTTTTTACATACTAAACCTAAGAGCATCTCTCTCGACCGAAAAACAAAAAAACAAAAATTAAGAGCATCTCCAATGAACAGTGGACACTGAAATATTCATGGTTGTTAGAGATCCAGACTAATTAGCATCTATACCTGCACAACATGCATCCACAGGAGAGGGAACTGTAAAAGAGGGGACCGAGCATTGTATGCATAGATGAAGCCAAGAAATTAGAAATCATGAAGTATGCACTTTCTTAGCTGGATTTTGTCTAGCTAGGGATATAATGGTAGGGGCCGTAACAGGGTAAGGTATGAGAAATTTTGTATGTGATTGTAGCATACATCATCTGGTAAACAAGAGTTTCAAATTATGTAGACAAGTGCTATAATTTGAATGTATGGACTTTTCCCTCTGAAAAAGTACTCGTATCAATAAGTATTAAAGTTGTTTTTAATTATTTACCTTCGGGGTTTAGGGTTACAAAATATTCGAACCCTAACCCTAACTAATATTTTATCATTTTCTCAATTTATTTCTTCTTAATATATATTTGGCTCGAAAAGGTTTGACAAAGCACAATATTTGAATAATTCTGTATCGGAACATAATCTCGAATACCAATGCCTTATCACTGCTATGTGGAAGGGGTATCAATCAAGAGTGGTCCAACCATTATCATTACCATTGGCATTTTGAGAACTTCAGAATCGCAGTAATTAAAGTTTTTTTTTTTTGTTTTCTTTTTCTGTGTAATTATGTTGTTACGAAGGTTTTCAAGTATTTTAAGTGGGGTTGTCTGGTGCATCTTATAAGCTAGTTGTGAGGCTATGCATGAAGGTTCTTCTTGATGTTATAAGGCTGACTGCAAGTACGTTTCTCTCTGGGATAGCAAGCTAATAAAATTGGTAGGTTCAAGGATCATTAAGCCGGCTATTAAATTGGCAGGGTCTTGGACCCTAGTGGAAAATTATTTATTTGTTTTTTAATACAAACGTTATTAAAGTAAGAGAGATTCGAACACAGGACCGAAGTGCCTAGGATATACTTGAGCCATAAGCCCCTTGGGGAAAAATATTTATTGAATCTAAAGGGTATTGTGGCTGATCCTCTACTAACCTAAGTAATCTCCTAACCTTGCTAACCTTTTCACAATAATTATGGTGTCACGTTTCAAGTGCAAAATCGTGCAGCTTACAATTATTGAGCTTCCTTCTTTTGCAAAACCTCTCCTCAAAACACTGGGTTAAGGATGTATTTTCTTTTCCTTAATATCATATTAAAATTTTGCATCAACTCAGATTGTGCTTTTGTTTGGTCAGTACCCACCTTTTTGTTATCCTACTCCTCTTTGTTTGCCTGTGATTTTTAATGGCAATGAAGTTCTCAATTAACTCTCATTAATCTTCAGGTAAACCTTACTATATCACCCATCGATATTACAAAAAGTACTGAAACAGAAAAGAAGGATCCTAGGGATTAGAAGTATGAGACAGAGAGAGAAACAAGGAGCCTGGATCTATTATAAAATATCAAGGTTGGTGTGAAGAAGATTTGAGAGCTCTGTGGTTGTACGTAGGTTTTCAAGCCTATCTGTGAAGAAGATGATAGCTATTTTCTTACAAGTCTATTTGCCAATGATATGATTTTAAAGAGATCCATCTAATATCACTCTATGGTACATATGAGTCCTTAATAATTGCTAGCATTTTGAATTCTGAACCATTGTATTGATACGTCGAATCTGAAGATGGACCACATAGCCAATGGGATCTAGTCCAGTGAAAAAGGGCTTTGACTTGCAGACCAGTGACCTCAAGTTTGAAACCCTATGACACCTTGATGGTATGTGAGAGAAACCTTCCTCTTCTTTCTAGCTACTTTCAACTATTGGTTTTTTTTTTTTCTTTTTTTTAATTAAAAAAAAAAAAAAAAAAGATGGACCACATCATCAATAACTCTACGTTGGCAGCGAATGAATACTTGTGGAGTGATAGAGAAGCCTAAGATGCCTATAGCTGTATTGGTAGTATGGTAAAGAATCCACTGTTAAGAATATATATATAAAAATATGTATACAGAAGAATGACCTGATGAGAAAACTTGAGAATTTACCAGATAATTCGTAGGGGAATGTTTGCCTTATTTTGGCTTTAAGGAAATCTGAGTTTCTGAAAAAGGTACAGCCAGCTAGCTTTTGTAATGGAAGTAAAGGTACAAGTACGCCAGGCCTAGGGTTGGAACCTAGCTATAGCGGGCTCGTAGCTAGTCCAACTATCACTGTTCGAGTATTGTAGGCTTGCAGGAAAAAGATCACTGTAGAATTTGTAATGTGCATTTGTGTGTCTCTACTCAAATGTTTTTGAATTAATATTTTACTCGGACTTTGGTCGTGGGAATATACACAATTTCAATACAAAAGCAGCTGTTACATAGTTTTTCTTCTTTTCGTTTTCGCAAAAACATTAGTATATAAATCGCTTGCTATATTTGAGTTATATATACTTAGAGATCTCTTCCAGGAAAAAAATAAAAAAATAAAAAAAAAGAGTAAGAAAACAAAATAAAGTGCAATTCCTCAAATAAATGAGGGGCTTCAGATCAAGAAAGGAAGAGGGGAGGGGCCTCATCTGTGTATCTGAACTATAGCATATATCACTTGTTTAACCCGTCATTCTTAATCCCAATTGACGACTTAATGGTTGTCCAAAAATGAAATTAATTAGGGTGTCTGATTTTTCAATTCATCTTTTATCCACTTATACTTCTTCTTTTTTTCTAAAATACTTCTTATTATAACAAAAAAGAAGTATAAGTGAATAAAACGAGAGTGGGAAAATCAACTCCCATTAATTATTATGTTTTCAAGAGGCTCCAATGGAGATGGTTACTGTAGTTTGTCATGATTAAGAGAGACGAATGTGTGGCCCACTATCAATTGGTTCACTAAAAAAATGTCAACGAGCATGGGTATTTGTGTCCATATATAGAGTTTGCATTGGCACTTGGAGACACCTATATTGTATTTGTGTCTGGAAATAGGGTTTGTGTTGGCACTTGGATGCCCAACATGGACATTGTCTACAACTTAATCACACGGTGTTGAGTTTTATCACAAAAGGTATCGATGGTAGTAGTAATTGAACCCTTCATTTATGTATTGTATTTGTTTTGTCACGTGTCTGATATGGGGCTTTACATTCTTTAATACACCCCTCGTGTGGGACAACCCTTTTTATTATATACAAGAGATATTGAGGGATAAGGGATTCGAACATAGGACCTCATAGGTGCATAGATAACTGCAACGCGTTTGATTAATAACTGATGTGTCAGTTTTTATTTGATGTGAATAAGTATGCTCTAAGGTGTGGCTAGACACGAAACAAATTAAACAATGTCATATCAGTTAATATCTAAAAAGTTGGTGTCTCTAATACTACTATACCACAAAAGGGCATCGATGTTTTTAGTAGCTAATAACCATTCAAGTTTTCCAACATAGATTTTACATTCTTCAACATAATTAACTTAAAACACTTTGTACTACAAAAGCACTTATTATGTTGTTTTTTTTTTTAAAGTATATGGATTTGTTTGATGGTCTTAAAACATTTTCGTTTAATGGGCCGAAATTTTTATTTTTATTTTTAACTACGCCACGATAAAAATCTATTTACGATAGAACAAAATGTCACACTAAACCAGAAAGAAAGGAAGACCCTAAAATTGTTTAATTACACGAATGTGCTAAACATGGACTTACTTCAACCGCAAGAGTGGTGTTGATAAGAGCTCTTAATTTGAAATCAATTGACTCGTCTCCTTTCCCAACTTCTTTTGTGGTGCAAAGTGAAAGTGGTGATCGTACGTATAACTGATAAACAATTACTCCTCCTCCATGAATTGATCGATCATAAATGAATATTTACCATCTGATATTAATGGCAGGCCAACCAATCAAAGGATCAAAGCAGAACTTCGGGTTTTGAAATTTTTTGAAGTGGCATTTCTGTGGTTTGTGGAAAGAAGAGGAGCGAATCAAATAAGCATTACGTGATAGAAATAATCCCCACGGAAATGTATGCCTAGGGACAGCACTGTAGACCCAATTTACTCAGAAATCTGTGTAACAGAAAATGACACTGCACTGCCAAGCTTTTATCTCACTGCACCACTACTCCAAAAAAAAATAAAAAAAAAATAAAAAAACCCTAAATAACTATTCATTTTCTTTCACATGATATATATAATATACATAATTTCTGTCTTTGTATTTATTTTATAAGATATATGTCTTTCATAGCTTTCTCTTTCTCTTCCATTTGCAGCTTTCTTCAATCTCACACACAAAAACTAATTATACCAACCATGAAAATAATTAAAAAACAAAAAAAATCTCAAACAGATAATTTCTATGAAAGCTGGCCAGAGTACTAGCACTGTATAATCTTACACATCAATATATGGCACACGATCTCTTCCTCCAACTGCTGCAGACACACGCCATGTATTTTGATCCTTAATCTCTTGTTTGGTCAAGATGGTACTGTTGGTCGGCCATGGCCAAGGCGAAGCTCTAAATCAAGCTCTTCAAAATTGCCATTTTCGGTCTCAGGTGTTGAGGGTTCCGGATCATCAGCTGATTTGCTTGAGTGACAATATTGGGAATTGGTTCCTGGTGGCACAACTGATGCTAAGTAGTCATGAGGTGGAATATTGGGTGAGATTGAAAGGAGAGTGGATGGTGATTGCTCAACGCCATGTGAACTTGAGCTCATCAAAGTTGTGGCAGTGTTGAAGGATGCACCATTGATACTACTAGGGCTTGGCAATTGGTAAACCAGGCATAACCCACCATTTGCATTGACAAATTCTTGAGTTGGGATTATGAATGAGGAAGTGGAAGCGGATGAGGCTGATGCCGGGTTGATCGGAGGATTAGATTGGTGGAGCCGGGCGCGGTCACGGCGGTGCACATTCATGTGGCCGCCTAGGGCTTGGGCGGACCGGAATTCCCTTCTACAAAATGTGCAAGTGTAAGACCTTGGAGGCCAAGTGGTGCCCATTACATTACCGGTATCCTCTGCAAAGGCTCTCACTTCCCACGAGTCATCTTCGGGTTCTTGAGCTGGCTTAGGGTTCCACATCCAGGCTTTGGGGGGCAAGCTAGGGTTTAATAATTGCGATTGGTTTTGATTTTGTTGTGATAGAGCCAATTTTTGGAGCTCGGTCAAGGAGAGAAGGCCAAGCTCAGCCATGGTAGAATGGTACTTGTACAAACATTTAAGATATGGAGATATTGATGGAGGAGTTGATGTGGAACCAAATGTGAAATGGGTTAAATAAGGGGATAGGCTGAGGAGAGGGGAGAGTAGAGACAAAATGAAACCCTAACACTCGAGTGTATCACCAAAGTTGGGCAACAAGCAGTTGTACTTTAGCACAATAGAGATTAAAATAACTTATGCCACCTCCACTAGCTGTGTTCTGTATAGCAGGACAGTTAACTTTGGCTTCAACGTCAATCCATACGTGTGTTTACTGGTTCAAATATCCCAAGCACAACTTGTGGGTCAGATTTTAAGATAGTTTATAGAGCTAATAAGACAACAGGGGTTCATGAGAAATTAAGAGGAAATTAAGTACTACTATTGGAATTTAAACAACTGGTAATGCTGATGAAGTTTCTTGGGGCATTAATTGATTAGGCATGCCATATATGTTCTTTGTATGGTTCACTTTAGAGTTCATTCTTTTTTATGTGACTAATTCAAATATCTGGAATTAATTTAAATATGTTAGCTTCTTTTTTTATTTTTAAAAAAAAAAGGATATTTCCTATTGAGAAATGCGAGATAATATACTAATCTCACACACACCACACAAATGTTAAGACTCGAACCCATGACCTTTTCTAGGAGGAGCAATTGCTCTAAATCACTACACTAGTGAGTTCTTTGTTGCATGTTTAATTTAAATATGTTAACTTGAAGGCCTAAGTGATACATGATACATGCTTAATTAAGATTCCTATTTTGTATTCTAATTGACAATTCCGAGATCTAAGTGATGAATTTGTACTAGGGAAACTGAAGCAAAATTACAATGACTTCGTTTAATCAGAGACATCCAGAAATTTTTTTGGCTCGGTTGGAAACAAAATGACACATCTCATTAAATGGGCAGTAAAGTAAGTTACATGTGAGAGATTCTAAGGTTAATTAATTCTGAAGGTAAAAGTTCATTATCATTCGAGCTACAAGCGCCAGCAAGTTTAAGCTTTGTTTAGAATCAATTTATCATGGGTGATGCAATCATGTAATACCATAAGTAGAAAAAAGAAGAAAATGAATATATCCAAACTAGACACCATTTTTCTGGTACTATGTTGATTTGATCGGTGTCAATCCTCGTGTTAAGATTTCAAAGGGACGTACATACCCTTGGTCCACCACTAGCAACATCGATATTGTCCCTAACTTAATTACCTGTTTAGCAGGTGTGGGGTTTTTATACAAAAAGTCTCGATGTTATTAGGAGTGCAACCATTTATTATATGAGACTTTCTATTTTGTTAAGTTTCTGATATGGGACTGTGTGTATTCTTCAATTATCCTCTTCATGTGGGACCACTTTTTAGTGGGCCACACGTGCAACCAATTCCACATCGGTCACTTTTTTTTTCTTTTTTTCTTTTTTTCTTTTTTTTTTTTAATTTTTAATTTTGATTCAATTTGGGGTTTTTTATTTGATTTGAGTTTCTTTGATTTGGGTTTAATCGGGCCCAGTCAACCGACCCGCTCTGATACCATGTTAAGATTTCAAAGGGACGGACCCTTGGCCCACCACTAACAACATCGATATTTTCCCCAACTTAACCACATGTTTAACAGGTGTGAGGTTTTATACAAAAGGCCTCGATGTTATTAGGAGTGGAACCATTTATTATATGGGACTTTCTATTTTGTTAAGTTTTCGATGTAGGACTCGTGTATTCTTCAACACCTCGAACGTAAAACATGCTTTAGTAATGTCTCAAAACCAACAAATCTAGGAAGCCAGCAACTAAACACCGTTTTTTTGTTTTGGTAAAAGGCCAACAAGGTAGGAAAAGGTTCTGATTCTCGGAAGCATTGTGTGATAGTACATGTGACAATATTTATGTTTTTCTTCACATCATCCTTTATTATGGCTCTTAGTTATTTACCAAACTCATATAAGGATTGGGCATATATATAATATTTAAAAGGGTTATTTACTCAAATAGTCCTTAAATTTATAACCGGATTGCATTTTGATCCCTCAATTAAATTATTGGTTCAAATGGTCCACCAACTCTTTATTAATCACACATTGGTCCTACTGTTATATTTTGTCAATATTGCCGTCACATATAAGGGTAAAACAGTCCAGTTAAATAAAATAGTAAATAATTACAAAACTAAAAATCAAAAGAAAAAAAAACTTGTTTGCCTCTCCCACCTCCCAACCCCCAACCCCAGCTCAATAACCATTGCCCCAGCACCCCATCTTTCCACAGCCCCCCTTCATGTCCCTTCCTCCTTTCTCCCTCTATTTCTCTCTTCAAACATTTATTGGGTGGGTTGGATTTTGTTTAGGTTACTTTTTTTGTTGTTTTTTATTCTTTTATAGTTTCTAATTAATTTTAAAAATGAAGAAAATTTTAATTAATTTTAAATCATATATTTTTATATTTTTAGTTGTCAAGAGTCTTATTTACCCCTACAAATGTAGAATGTGCTACTCACATGACTAAATTTAACAAAAAATATAATGGTAGTACCAATTCGCCGATTAATAAAGAGTTGGTGTACCATTTGAACTAATAATTTAGTTGAATGACCAAAATGCAACTCGAGTATAAATTCAAGGACCATTCGAGTAAATAACCCTATTTAAAAAATTAAGGATGCCATAGCAAACTTTTTTTTTCACATTCAAAGGAGGCCAAAATGGAATATGAAGACTTATTTTTGTTCTCTTTAAATTTTCTCTCCTTTAAGGAGGCCAAATTGCCTAATTAATTACCAAAGTTCAATCAATCAAATAAACGTATGTCCAACGTACTCCACTTGGATGTGGACTGTCATATATACAACTTATGATTCAGTGTCTGCACTTGTCATCTTCTTCTTAAATTCTCTTCTTTGTTATTCTTCTTGTTGTCCTCTGCAAACAGATTGTTTTCCACCCTTTAAATTATGATCATACAAAGACAAAGACTAAACCAATTACATTATTTTAACCTAGTGATTAAGAATTGATTAATTATCATATCTCTCTTAAACAAGCTGAAAGCTGATCAAGTGTTTTGACATAGCTTTTTCCACCAACGACTAAACCAATAAAACTTAATATCTTACTTTTTCAAAACATTGTTTGCATCGTCTCCAGTCTGCGCCACTAATTAGACCGACAGGGATGAGCTAGCTCTTTTACTTGTAACACATTCTTAGTTGCTTATTTTATTTGGTAATTACCGTATCCTACTATAATTAGTGGAAGAGAATATTTTAAAGTGCTTTGACTTCAAGTGCTTAAACTCTGTGATAATTTTAAATCATTTCTTTTTCTTTATTATCTAGTGAATAACGAGGTTTGTCTATTAAGCTAGTATATGTATCTGTCACATTCACCCATCGGATTAATATTGGTCTTATCATCCAATAGAATATTCGTGATGCATGGTAAGTTAGAGGCTAAAATGCTCAATTAAGACAAAGATAGGGGACATCACTAAAGATAAAAGGCCAAGGGAAAATATAAGTGATGTGTTATCGTAGTGAAATACGGATTAATGCACAATTTCTAAATGCATATACTCAAAATTCAAGTGTATAATTTATAGTTTTATTTTAATTAATTATATTATAAATCTACTTAAATAATTATAGCATTAATGATATTACTACAAATGTGTAAATATATTATTTATTTATTTATGAAAAATGTGTAACAATAAAGAATCCTTGATGTCCCAGAACAATAACGTAATAGCACTACAAAAATCTAAGTTGTTGGCATATATTTCATCCCATTTAAGCTGATTGACCACTAATGATATGCCACATGGACGGCCCAGTTAGCAGTGCCTCATCACTTGGTCGAACACGACCCGACTGACTCGACCACCTCGATCGAGAATTAGGGGTTGTAATCCCTTAAGCCCTGTTTGGTTCACAGAATGAATTTGAGGGGAAATTATTTCCCATGTCATTTCCCAAGGGATGAGAAACAGAAGATTCCTTTCCCACATTTGGTAATGCTGGGAAAGTAACTGGGAAATATCACTTTATTTCCTTTCTCATATTTGTTTTCCCATATTTGTTTTGAATAGGAATGGAAAACAAAGTTTGTATAAATTTTCAATTATACCCATATTAAATCAAATAAAAAAAAGAAAGCATTTAATGATATATTGTAATTCTAAAATTGTTAATGGGGATAAAATGGTAATGAAAAATGTTTATTTAATATTGGCTCATTTTCCCAAACTTTCTCATGAGGAAGGAAAACAAAACCCAAGTTGAGAGGATGACTTCACTTTCCCCCTTACTTTCTCATGGACCAGGCAATGATTTCCCATGCATGGACTTACCAAACATGGGAAAACAATTGATTTTCCATCCCCAAGTCTCCTTTCCCATGAACCAAACGGGGCCTTACAGACCATGGTTGACTCAAATAGTCTTGCCCGACCGACCACTACACTTAATGAAGTTGACAACTATGGATGGGCCGCGATACTACATACTCGGCTCAGCTTCCGTATATGGTCGCCTTGGCCTAATCCTACCGACTAAATCAAAGACAACTGAAAGTTGGTATGAGGTCATCTGTTAAGAACCCATGGGTAGATTTTGCCAGTAAAATCGACTTGTGGCGGCTTCACTCAACTACCAATATTCAATGACTCGATATCATGCCCATATATAAGACCGATCATTTTAATTCATCCTATAGTCACCCATTCCATGGAAGTGAGCTAGTTGTGTAATGACCTAACTCTTATACCAATTGTTAAGAACCCATAGGTAGAACTTGCCTATAAAAATAGGTTCGTAAGGGAAAGGTGTCCAAGAGCTCTTACACAACTCTAGAATATGTTATTTTTCCAATGTGGGAAAGCGTAGGGATTAACTAGACTGCCAGGGCCAGGTGTCAACACATGGATGGATCTTACATTAAATGCATTCCTAACTCTCGTTAGATGTCATTTGCTCTTTGCTAGTTGGTTTCCCCTGCAATCAGCACTTTTGGCCATGCTCAAACACCACATCT